AGTAATGTCGCAATAAAAACATTGATGCCCGCAAATTATTAAAGTGCATATATGGGTTYAGAAATTTTTCTTTTAAATGAAAGTTTGGACATTAAAAATTTCATAATCAAAGAAAATTTTACGATATTATATAAACTTCGTATATTTCTAAGCTTTCAACTGCGGAATGAGCTGATAAAAGCGGAGGCCTGTTACTAGTCCGTCCAGTGACGTCATTCACGAAACAAGCTTACGGTAAACAACACTAAACTTCACGKAACTGATCTTTAAAACGACTGATTTTTCTTGAAAAAAGACATGTCTGATTGCAGCAGTGAATGTAGAGACTCTTGTTACATTTCTGAGTAATTATAAAGTTGAAACTGAAACCGATCAATGCGCAAAAAAAGAACACTTTATTGAAGACCATATCGCGATATGAACGCTTTAGAGTACAGCGACGAACCGATTGCAGATGAAGAGTGGCTAGCTGAGTATTGATATAAAAAGGTTTTATATACGGACGGGCAAACTTCGCCAATGTTGCTGAGAAATGTAGTTACGGCCGGCAGCCGTAAAGAAGCAAGCTTGCTTCTCCTGTGTTTTTCGAACTCCCACCGTGTTTATATCAGAGGACAGAGACACGCGCGCCGTTTTATATTTCTTAAATAAAAAGGTTTCATATGCGGACATTCAAACTTCGCGAATGTTGAGAAATGTTGTTACTCGAACTATCTCTGTATAAAAGGGTTTCATATTCGGACGGGCAATTCAAACTTCGCGAATATTAAGTAGCTACGCGCGATCWTATCTATGAATATGGACGGGCAAACTGTATTAGTATACAAGGCTTCATYCAAGCTTTTATGRAAAGAAGAGTTTCACGCGTTTTCCTCTAATTACTCACAAAAATGTTTTTGCAAAGTTTGCTAACGTGTACTGTCGTCTCTTTCGGCGTCGAATTGACTMTTGTCGCTGGTCGCCGTAATACGGAATTTTGTGCTARGAAATAGCGTTTTCACGACTGTTTATGTTATCACAACTTTCGACTAC